TGATCTTGGACTGTTTCCTTGTTTTTGATTGTTTGCTGCCTGCCTTGACCATTGCCTATTTATTGGATTACTCTTTTGGATTTGCCTTGGATATTACTGTTTTGCTGGTGTTTGACCCTGCTTGTCTGACTACGATCTTAATAAAGCTGCATTTGGATCCTCAACTCTGTCACGCGCCACACGTTACAACTACAGAGACAGAGGAGTGTCCTGAGAGTCACATAAATTAACATGGCAGAGGTAGAGCTGCATCTTCCACCAAATAATTACAATCAACCAAAGAAATAAAAGCAAACTATCTGTACCATATTGAATTGCATAGCATTATATTTTTTCCATTGCACTGAATTGCATTGAATCACATTGTATTGAATCGAATCGAAATCGGATCGCACTGCAACGTAATTGGAGTGAATTGTAGCGCATTGCATCAGTAGCTGCTTCATATGTAAGGAATAATCAGCGGCTTGTCATGCATTTAAGGATTTTAAATGCACGACGTGGAGGCCAAGAACCACCCGCGTAGTGCATTTAAAATCCTTGAATGCACAGCAAGCCATTGATTATCCCACTTATTCCATTGTCATTTACCAAGTTATAGACAAGTTAAAACTAGTATTGCTCTTTGCAGCGCAATATTTGACCAGAAGGGTAAAAATTACGTTTGTTATTTTCGTCAGTTACGGCTCGTTAGCTCTAGCATTCTGCCCGCTTCAAATCAGACACAGAGATTAAATAATGCGGTAAGATCACATTTATTTGAATGAGTTATAGCATTTATTTAAATTAATTATCAATCGAGAGAGAGAATGAGAGAGATGGTAGTTGTGTGTGTGTGTTACCTGTGTGCTGTGTCGGCGCGTCTATCTCAACAAACATTTAATTACTTCAAAAACAGTGATTTTACCACCTCGTTGTTGAGGAATATAATGTAGTGATCTAGTATCTTGACTATTTTATCAATAAAAAACACGGGGGAAGCGTTGATAAGTTTATGTGTGTACGCATCGCAATCTGCGATCTCCGACTCTCTCTTTCTGTGTGTGTTTGTGTGCGAGTGATGTGTGTGGGTCTCTGTGCATCAATTAAAGCAGCGCATTAATATAGAACGGTGATTAAACTGACTTGGAACTACCTGTGCATTAAACAGTTTTACTGTATACCTGCCAGCCAATCAGAATCCAGTATTTAGTCAGACTATGGAATAAGTATCTTTAATGTATCGTATACCAATTATACGATACATTAAAGATACATATTCCATAGTTCCAATGCATTGAGATGCGTATCGCATCAGCCTCAGTTATGGAGATGAACATCCCTAATATATACACTACAAGTTAAGCATTCAAGAATAAAGGAAAGTGTTTTACCGTGGTGGAGCCCAGTCATGCTTGGTACAGTCCAAGAGAGTGCCCACATAGGTCCTTTTCCTCCATGTGACATTCACAACTAAAACTCCTGAAATCAACGAGAAACAGTCACATAATGAGTCCCTCTGAAATATTAAAAGTAAAAAGCACCCAAAATATTCCAAAAGATTAAAACATTTGCTACAAACACCAAATAAAACCATTAGGTTTAGCCATATCTTGATGCGTTTACTGTATTTTCGAATGGATTCATTCTGTGCTTGTTAAGATGGTGGTCTGCAATTTTAATTTGCTCAATCAATATGCAACCAGTGTCTCCTCTTCCTTCAAATGCTTCCGTCTCACAGCTGCTTTGAAAACGCAGTCCTGTGGAGCTAATGACAAAACTCGCCCTTCACTCATCACATATCCAGTGTAACCAGTTTGAATGCAGTCATTCATAATGTGGTGAAGAAGAAATAGTGATGCGAGATACTAATTGAAAGCACATGCATGCAGATAATTTTACAACAGCATCTTGTTTTATATGTGTGGAACATTGCACAGAATAACAAGCTCTCACCTTCCTCCGTCTCATGCCACACAATACCCTCTAGATTGACGCTCGTTCCTGGTTGACATGGCTCCATGTAGCTGGACTCGAGGGCTTTCTCGGCTTCCTGTGTGTTAGTTCCAACTGACCGCGTCTTAACACTCAACTGGAGAGAGAAAGAGAGCACAAACACAGTGCCAGCTGAAGTATAATACAGTTGCATGCCAGTTTCTTGCTGATCAATTGCATCAAAATATTTAACTTCTGTATTTTTTAATTCTGCAATCAAGTGATCAAGCAAAACACACAAAAGCTCCTACAGCAATGACAGCATGTCAGACTAGCCTCGTGAATGATGTCTATCTCAGCGATGTCACTGGAATCAAGGCAAAATGCAAAAAGACATCTAGATAAGGGACAATAGAGCAGAATGGCCAAGACTGGAGGGGGTGGAGCTTGTCTCTATATTTAAAATGTAAATAGCACACGAAAGGCAATTTGGCTTTAAACAAGCCAGTATGTCTTTGTCCAAAACAAGCAGAGGGAATTATGATGTTTAGGTTTCCAATAGCAACAGACGTGAAGAATTTCACAAGGGCTGCGTTAACAAAGCAAATGGCTGACAAACAAAAGACAACCTCTTTATATTGATATCGCGATATAAATCCATCATTGCACGGAAGGTGGTTTGGTGCTCGTTTGGCTATTTGACGAATCTCGCCGGCTGCATTGAGATTCGCGCATAGCGCACAAAGAAGCAAACAGACGCACGAAGCACCTTTGCTTTTATAGCGCATTTGAACACTGAACACTGAATCCGCCATCAGCTCAACCTACAGCCTCGCGCTCGATGCTTCATAACGCAGTAGCGGGATTCGTATGTGATCGCACGCGTCAAGCGTGCATGGAAGGAAAGATGCGAGCTTACCGTTCTTAGGCTGTGCTCCTCGGTGTTTGTGTGGTCAACAATAGCCGCGTCCATTCCGCCCCTGCCGATGAGGTTCTCCGTTCCGTTCTCCGAAAGCGGGCCAAATTCATCGCTTGGCTTCTCCTTCCGCGTCTTAGCCGAGTCTTTCTCTCTTTTCACTCCTTTGCTCTGGGTTTTGCCCTTTTTGCCGTCTTTGGTTCTGCCGAGCGGCGCGGGTTCGTCGCTGTCCACCGGCGCTGGTGCTGAATTCATCTCTCCGCCGCGTCCTTGAGCCTCGCGCCGCTTACCGACGCATGCTTTGGGAATGCCGCTCACAATCTCCAGCGACGGGAATCGATCCGTGTCCGTGGAGGAATTCCTTCGTTTCAGCTTGAATTTCTTGGGCTCTTTGCAGAGGAACGGCTGCGTCAGGCCGTCGAACGCGGCGCCTCCTGCGTTTGCGCAACTGTATTCCAGCGCTTCGCGACCTTCCGCAGCGCTTTTAACGCTCAAAACGCGATTCATCTCCAATCTCTGTCGATCCTTCTCCAAATCCGCGTCCAGGTCGATGATCAGATTCCCAACCCCGATCTCCCAGTCATCCCCGCTGTCATCCGGATCCGCTCCGTGCGTCTTGATTCTCTGCCGAAGGGAGGAACTGACTGACATTCTCCACACAGGATTTCTGACAGAAAACGGTGATGAATCCTAAATCAAGTGGATGGGAGGGTATTAATCACACACGAGTGCTAATAGAGATGGTGCTGGTGAAACGCTGCACACATTAAAACATCTTGGATCAACATGTGTAGTGTTTTGAGTGAAGGATTGCGGTTGTGTTGCAAATGAATCCATCAATAAGTTACAGCAACATCGTTTCTGCCGTTCTCAAAAAGTCGTGATTCTTTCTTCCACAAATTAAGGCCTTAAAAAGCGTTAAATCAGAGCAGTAGAGTCATTAAGTCATTGAATGTTGCATTCATTGAATGAATATCTTCCTCAGCATTTTTTTTGTTTTCCGATATCTTTATCACAACATTAAATCAAGATAAACTTACTCCAAATGTAAACTGTCTTGAAATATTGAACGAAATAAAGTGAGCTTAAGCTTAAAACAAGTACAAATATCTATCAATGTAATATGAAAACGTGTTTTCTCTTTGAACTCTTTGTTTTCTCTATGCACAAATCTGTGCATAAATCTTCTGTTCCAGATTCATACACATTATTGTTATTTATTGTTAAGCCTTACTATTTAAATGTTTTCTGTTCTCATGTCAGATATGTATGCATGTACCAAGAGCACCTTAAAAACCACAACAAATTCCTTGCATGCCTGCACACACTTGGCGAATAAAGCTAATTCTGATTCTGAATTAAGTTGATTTTGGCAGATATCTGTTCTTGTTTTATTTTGATCAGTTTCTCAGAAAACAAGACTTCTTTTCTAAAGTCATGTTGCATTACAAGTAAACGTATTTTGAATTAAGGTTCTTCAGACATGTGTGTTGAAAAACTCCTTAGACATGTACATTATAAGAGAACATCTTGACATAGTGTGTTCCCGTCAATTTATTCCATACTTGGTCTTTAAAAAGTCTTAAAGTCATAAATTTAGCTTCATCAAACTGCATAAACCCTTTAAACTGCCACAATTGTTTCTGACATTTCTGCACAATTCAGAGTTTCAATCTAAAATTAACTAAATTAAAAGTCAAAAAAGTGCAATGAGCTACACTGTAAAAAGGGCATATGGTGTATTTGTGTGTATTAGTTAGCAGTTGCATTTTCCATTACCCTGACTAAACATTTCTCACAGTTTATAGCTGCAACTTTGGCGCTCCAAAACTGCAATTTTACAGTTTTTGTTTTAATGTATATGTATAGATACAATAATGCATGGAAAACACAAATAATATCGTTAAAATCATGCCATTTATTTAATGCATTGCATCTTTCAATGTCTCTCTTGTCTAGAACAGTGTTGCATTGGCACTAAGACATGTGCAAACCCACTTTCTCCAGAATGATCAGAATTAGTAGGTTCTTAGTAAATCTAACAGCATCTAAGAACAGCAGCCGGAAAACAGACGTGAAAAATGCCATCAATGTTCTGAGTTAACAAAAGTGTTAGTGCAAAAATGAACATTAAAGGGTTCGTTCACCCAAAAATGTAAATGTTGTCATCATTTACTCACCTTCATGTCGTTCCAGGTTTGGAACAACTTTTTGGGTGAACTATCTCTTAAAATTTATTTCAAGCATAATTTAATCTGCTTTTTTTTTTTGGTAAGTGTCGTTACATTAAAAATATATAAACAAATAAACTTGAACATTTGTGTAGCACTGGTTATTTCAGCTCAATATATTAAAAATACTGTTAGTCGATTTGGCGACGGCAAACAAATCTGGTCAATATACAAATGTACTGATTGTAACACAGTCACTTCACGTTCTCTTCACGAGTAGAAGGTCAGAACACTCTGATGGTTTCCTCGGACAAGAAGTATTGGTGGCAGATCTTTAGTTAACGTGTCCAGCCAGGTCATGTAAAGAGCACTGGACACCGTCCCCTTCCTGGCGAGCGGCATGGTTCTGTCAAACCCAAATGAATCAGATACTCAGGTGAATCAAATCAAGGCACCTGTGTGCTTCACAAGGGCCACATACTTTCAAGTGTTTTATGTGTTAAATGTGTGGTCAGTACTTACATGACAATAAGGTTGGCTATGCTCGAGTATTCCTTTAGAAGCTCGTTCAGTCTGATCTGGCGATTCGACTGAATGAAAGCAGAGTAAGAACTGATGTCACTTACATGTTGATGCTATTTCAGACATTATTTGGGGCCGTTCGCACAGAACAAAGCAAAAATGTGACACACGGGCAATGGAATGGGGAAAAACACAAGGTCTACACTCTAAAAAATGCTGTGTTGTTTCAACCCAACTTTGGATCAAACATGGACTAACCCAACCGTTGGGTTAAATTTTTACATTACATTTTTAACCCAAAAGTTGGGTTGAAACATCCCAGCATTTTTTAGAGTGTAGGGACGTGTTTTTTAAAGTGCTCCTATTATGGGTAATGAAAGTTTCATATTTTGGTTTTGGGAGTCCCCAACAACAGGTTGACATGCATGCAAGGTCAAAAAACACTTTCATTGTCTTATAATATGCATTTATTTTTACCTTACTTGCTCAACGACTCCCAAAGGATTCACTCAACAATTCGTTTTTCCAAACCCCTGCTTTGCGTGACGCTAATCTGCGGTGATTGGTCCGATTGGATCTCGCCTGTAATGCCTGATAAAGCAGTGTTTGTGAGCGCAGTGCTGCTTTGTGTATAGCGTTGTTACCGGGGAAACAGATATTTTTACCGCTCCAAAAGCGGCACCTAGTGGCAAAGAATGAATTTGCATTTTCATTCAGACCAACCCTGAAAAGACCAACACATGGGCGGGCAATATGCTAATCTGCAGTGATTGGTCTGATTGGATCTCGCCTGTAATGCCTGATAAAGCAGCATTACCGGGGAAACCGCTATTTGTACTGCTCCAAAAGCGCCACCTAGTGGCAAAGAATGAATTTGCATTTTCATTCAGACCAACACGTGGGCGGGCAATATGCTAATGCTTCATGATGACGTCAACATGTAACGGCTTGGGATTCGTTTTAAAAACGACTCGTTTAAATGATTCAGAGTCGACTCTTTGTTTTGAGAGACAATAACTTTATACACGGTGCACGTTCAGATTTAAAACTTTGCAGGATGTTTTCATTCACTGAGAGCTGTGTTACACACTGCATGAAAGGGCATTTTCAAAAATCCATAATGGGGCACTTTAAAAAGCTGAAATTCTTCCATGTTTTTAGATGCTGTTTCACTCTGAAAAATCTGAGATGAGAGTGTAACGGTCAAACATGTCCATCTAGTGCGTGTTTATATCCACCTTATTTTTCAATGCGGAAGTAAGCCGTTTTCTGTGAATGTGTGAGAATTACGGTTCATTAGCTGCCGTAGGGAAATATCGAGAAGAATAACAACATACAGTAAATGGTAAAACTGTTTGCACTACAGACCAGTGTGTTCATAATTAACCTGTTAACTGTCGGTTCCACCTGAAAATTACATTTCCTACTTAAATTGTTGTAAATTGTGAATGCTTTGGAGCACAGACTTAAGGTTGGTCTCTGTTTAAAGAAGACACTAGGCAGATTATTGTAGAAGTGAACAATGTTATAAAAACTGCATTACAAAAAAAGTTATGGAAGTTTAAGTTAATGAAAATATAAAATGTAAAAATTAAAATATCGATATTTTATATAAAATATATATTTTACAAAACATGTTTTAACTCTAAAACGGCTAGAAAATTAAAACAAGTTGTGTTTCAAATTTGAGGTTGATATCTGAAAAAATGAGCTTTCAGTGAGATTTTGTTTGGATGCAGTACCAAGCTTTTCCACTAGGTGACCATCAAACACCATTAGTAACCATATAAAGGCGCCTCCATTTCCATATACAGTTTGAGTGATCTGAAACATGTTTTTCCATACTTTTCTCAATAATTATGAAGTAGACATCACAATCAGAAGTATTAAGGGCAGTATGGCAGAATTTCATTTTAATCCAACCTCTAAAAAACACATAAAAGACATTTGATGAGAACCTTAGACCTATGTTACAGTTCACACTGCCTCAAAAAATAGAGAATCTATTGTTTTTTTCTTTATATTCGAAACCCTTTTGGATGCTATCTTTTGAACACTTGACATGAAAATGAATGGAGGTTTTTACTGATTTTTCATATTTTTCATATGTGCATCACTATTTTAAAGTAAAGGTCAGAACTCGCTCTCCAACTCCGATGAGTACTCTTCTTGCAAATTATTAAATTACAGTTGCTATGTAAAATATTTCAAAAAGTAGTCACCAAATATGAAAAAATTTGTTCTTTATATCTGTTTGTATAACATTAGAATTCTCTAGATTTCTATAGAAATATACTGCCAGTTCAAACATGTTTTGTTAATAGAAATTTAAAATGGAATTGTAAGGATTTCACTTCTGAGGATAACTTTTGAGAACCACTTCAACTGAGTTTGAGTAGTCTCAAACTGATTCGTATGGAAGCTTGTTTCTGGCTTGTTTTTATCTCACAATTCTGACTTTTTTTTCTTGCAATGTTGAGGCTGCATCTCACAATGCGGACCTTTTTTCTCAGAATTCCAAGAAATAAACTTGCAGTTGCGAGTTATAAAGTCTGAATCGTTTGATAGAAACACATTTCCAAGAAATAAATTAAAAATTAAATTACAGTTGCTATGTAAAATATCACCAACTACAAGACACCATCCCCCAGCACTGAGGCCAATCAACAACTTGCTGAAGACCTGAATGAGTTTTACTGTAGATTTGAAACTCCCAGTCTAACACCCCACACCCGCTCTGAACATCTCTCCACACAACCATCAACACCTCCTGCAACCCCCCTCTCCCCCCATGAAAGGGCATTTTCAAAAATCCATAATGGGGCACTTTAAAAAGCTGAAATTCTTCCATGTTTTTAGATGCTGTTTCACTCTGAAAAATCTGAGATGAGAGTGTAACGGTCAAACATGTCCATCTAGTGCGTGTTTATATCCACCTTATTTTTCAATGCGGAAGTAAGCCGTTTTCTGTGAATGTGTGAGAATTACGGTTCATTAGCTGCCGTAGGGAAATATCGAGAAGAATAACAACATACAGTAAATGGTAAAACTGTTTGCACTACAGACCAGTGTGTTCATAATTAACCTGTTAACTGTCGGTTCCACCTGAAAATTACATTTCCTACTTAAATTGTTGTAAATTGTGAATGCTTTGGAGCACAGACTTAAGGTTGGTCTCTGTTTAAAGAAGACACTAGGCAGATTATTGTAGAAGTGAACAATGTTATAAAAACTGCATTACAAAAAAAGTTATGGAAAAAAAGTTATGGAAGTATATAAAATGTAAAAATTAAAATATCGATATTTTATATAAAATATATATTTTACAAAACATGTTTTAACTCTAAAACGGCTAGAAAATTAAAACAAGTTGTGTTTCAAATTTGAGGTTGATATCTGAAAAAATGAGCTTTCAGTGAGATTTTGTTTGGATGCAGTACCAAGCTTTTCCACTAGGTGACCATCAAACACCATTAGTAACCATATAAAGGCGCCTCCATTTCCATATACAGTTTGAGTGATCTGAAACATGTTTTTCCATACTTTTCTCAATAATTATGAAGTAGACATCACAATCAGAAGTATTAAGGGCAGTATGGCAGAATTTCATTTTAATCCAACCTCTAAAAAACACATAAAAGACATTTGATGAGAACCTTAGACCTATGTTACAGTTCACACTGCCTCAAAAAATAGAGAATCTATTGTTTTTTTCTTTATATTCGAAACCCTTTTGGATGCTATCTTTTGAACACTTGACATGAAAATGAATGGAGGTTTTTACTGATTTTTCATATTTTTCATATGTGCATCACTATTTTAAAGTAAAGGTCAGAACTCGCTCTCCAACTCCGATGAGTACTCTTCTTGCAAATTATTAAATTACAGTTGCTATGTAAAATATTTCAAAAAGTAGTCACCAAATATGAAAAAATTTGTTCTTTATATCTGTTTGTATAACATTAGAATTCTCTAGATTTCTATAGAAATATACTGCCAGTTCAAACATGTTTTGTTAATAGAAATTTAAAATGGAATTGTAAGGATTTCACTTCTGAGGATAACTTTTGAGAACCACTTCAACTGAGTTTGAGTAGTCTCAAACTGATTCGTATGGAAGCTTGTTTCTGGCTTGTTTTTATCTCACAATTCTGACTTTTTTTCTTGCAATGTTGAGGCTGCATCTCACAATGCGGACCTTTTTTCTCAGAATTCCAAGAAATAAACTTGCAGTTGCGAGTTATAAAGTCTGAATCGTTTGATAGAAACACATTTCCAAGAAATAAATAAAAAATTAAATTACAGTTGCTATGTAAAATATCACCAACTACAAGACGCAAGATATAATCATGCAATTGCGAGTTATAAAGTCAGAACTGCTGAGATATAAAGTTTTTCTAAGAAAATAGTCTTTCTTTCCCTCAGAGTTGAACTTTATAGCTCAATTCTGAGAAAAGAAGTCAGAATTGTGAGGGGGGAAAAAAGTCAGAATTGTCAGATATAAACCTGCAATTATTAGATTTTTTATTAAGTGGCTAAAATGGGCTTCCATAGATTTATGAGTCTTTTTGATTAATTCATTAAAAAGAATCATTTCTTAAGAGTAATTTGTTCAGACTACACTGTTCACACAGTAGGTTTGTTGTGTGCAACTATAAAATTTCACAATAGAAATGATGTTTCATAGATGCAAACTCCTCACCTTTCGGTGACAACTCACTTGTTTTTAGATCAAAACAGGTCACCTGTGAAATTTGCTTGGATCCAATGATAAATAAAGAACTGTTGTTTCAATAAGTTTTGTATAGTATTTTCTTTACTCTTTACTTCAAAAACTATGTCTAGAAATGATAATATTTTATGTGTTTGAGGTCTGAGATGCGGGAATTTTAGGTCAGCGTTGCCGTCTAATCCGCCAATATTGTCTTAAATAGGACTTCATCTTTTACAACATGGGATTTTGACCAAATATATTCAGTCTTGATTTTTGTAAAATGTTGCAACAAAATGTTTTAAAAAATGTAACTTGTTCTAAATAAGATCTGTGCAATGAAATAAAGCTGGTTATTATGAAAGAGCCATGTCTAAAGTCGTCTTTTTGATTAGCTCTCACTGTTCAGATGACACATTAGAGACATAATGGGACTGAGACACGTGAAGCTCCATCTCAAAGCAATGTAAGAGCATCACATCTCCTGAAGAGTAGCTGATGGTAACCTTGGCCCTGTAGAGCTCCAGCTCATTATCTGTGATCCTCCACGGTTCTTTAGCCTTCAGTTTCTCAGCGGCTTCTTGCTCCATGTCGTCCTCCTTCAGTCTGTACGGCTCGATCATCTCCTCAAACATCTTCTTGCTGAGCACAAAATCAAACAACAGCTGTGTCTCGTGGATACCGGAGCAAAACATGCTCATTATTAGCCAATGCACTGCAAAAAATGATTCTCTTACTTAGTGTTAGTGTCTTGTGTTCTAGTATAAATATCTAAACATTCTTGACTCAAGATGCATTTACTGTACAAGTAAAATGACTTCAGATATTACACAAACACTAAGTAAGAGAATAATTTTTTGTGGTGTGGATCGAAACTTACTTGTGCTTCTTTGGCTTAATGTTGATGTCTCCAAGAACGGTGATGTCAGAGAAGTCAATCCTGAACTTACTGAGCAACGCCGCCATTCTGCACAAGACCAAAAGCTTTCACTAAACGAATACTAGCTGATCATCTTTATTATTTAATATATTTTATATGTTAAACTACCAGTCAAAAGTGTGGACACACTGATTGAATTTGTTTCTCAGGATCTTAAAACCCTCTACAGGCTTCTGTTTAAATGACTGAAATTCATTTTGTGAAGGAATATAAACTGTGCCAACAAATTAATTCCTTAAAGGGGTCATATGATGCTTTTTTAAAGATCATTATTTTGTGTATTTGGTGTAACAGAATATGTTGACATGCTTTAATGTTCAAAAAACACATTATTTTTCAAATACTGTACATTATTGTAGGTCCTCTATGCCCCGCCTCTCTCAAACGCTTCGTTTTCTACAAAGTCCCTCCTTCCGACAAGCGCAGTCTGCTCTGATTGGCCAGCTGACCCAGTGCATTGTGATTG